ATTATAATATATTAATAGTATACTGCTAGAGGAGGGTTCATTCATTATTACTGGCAGTGTCCACTCACATGAAGCAGTGACAGTATGAGGTTCCAGTCCCAGGAGGGGTACTCCCTCGGGTTAGTGAGTACCAGGGTATCACGAATATGAGACTGGAGAGTGAGGTCATCCATCTCCTGTGAATAATAATAAAATAATAAATAAAATAAATAATAAATATAATAAATAAAGGAATAATAAATAATAAATATAATAAATGAATCAATATGAGCCCCATATATTCACAATACATATACTTACATTGGATATGTGGACATTGTGCATGAGGTTATTGTGACTTCTACCTTTACCTGAAAAATAACCAGCCTAAGGTAGAGAAAGAATATCATTATTATCATTTTTATTTATTTTATTATTTAATTAATTTATTTATTTAATTATTAATTTATTTGTTTGTTTATTTTACTTGTTCTAGTGTTAGTTTAAGATAGAGGCTGGATGGTTTGACCGGCTGTTTCTTCATTTGATGGATACGATCCAAACAATTGATAACCTCTGAAGCACGACTGGAATAAACAAAAACAATAATAACAATAACAACAACAACAACAACAACAACAACAATAATAATAATAATAATAATAATAATAATAATAACAATAATTTGTTTGTTTACTTTCTCTCTCCCTGTTCATCAGGTGACATTGCAGCTGCTATGAGGTCGGGCAATTTCAAAGAAAAACAAAAATATTCCGGAGGAAGAATAGAATTAGCCTAAGGAACAACACAAAGATGAACACAACTTAACCTCCATTAAACTATACATGTACATGTACATATGAATGTAGCATCACTAGTATGTACAGTACATGTACCTTAATACATTAACAATATTACAATTAGCACACACACACACACACACACAAAGAGTATAAAAGTATACATGTACTGTATAGCAGGAAATGTTGGAGGGAATTAAATTTGGCAAATTTGGCATTTTGATAGCCATTCACCAAAATGAAACCCTGCCATTTTGAGCCATTATACGCATGCTCAATGGCACGTGGCCACAAAATCGTCAAATTAAAATTCGCCAATCACCAAAATTTAGCAATTAGCCAAATTTTAGTCCCTCTAAAATTTCCCGCTATACGATAGATACATGTCTTACCATATGTAGCAGCTGCCCCATTAGTACAGCAGTCATTACAGCGATGTGTTGATCAGGTAGTTTAACCACTTCCACCAGCGATGTGAAGAACCCCGCCTTCAATAGACAGGTCAGTAACAGTGCATGGTAGCAGCCCATGAGATCAACACGCTCCATTACTTTAGGAGGGAGGAGGGACTTACCCTCTTCAGCTACCCACCCTGCCTCTAGTGACCAGTCCTGAGAATACTGGGTGGGGTCTATAATGAACAATAAATAATAATGTATCATCATGTATGAACTATTGTACATGTACATGTAACTGTGAGAAAAATCTAAAAAATAAAAACATATACAAGTAACTGTACACCATACTTATAATAGAGTAATGAATAATGATGTGATGAATATTTATAAAATACCAGCTTGCATTAGCCATGCCTACATGTACATACATGTATAGTGAATAATGAATTCAATTTAATTTTAAGCATGAGCCAGGAGCCATTGCTGCTTAATATTCAAGACAAGTTCAAGAGGATTCGTCTCATGGTGATCAATACACAAGCAGTAGCTGCCATATTAGTAGTAACTTTGAAGTAGTACAGTAGATGATAGTATTCATTGCAGGTCACTGCAATGAATACTAACATGTACTGTACTGGAGTCATGTGATGATTGAACTATTGGGAAGAAAGGCTAGCTAGAGGAAGACAAGAAGTTAAAGGCCATTCTCTAAAGACTATGGGCAGTTGCTGTTCAAGGAACCCCAGTAAGTCTTATACAAGAGATGTACATGTATACTAACTATATGTAGTGTGTATTAACTTAGTGTGGGCTATTGGTTGCATGGTTGGATCACTAATGTAGGGTAAGGGTTGAACCCTTTTCTTTAAAATGGCATATTCTTTGCCATTCATCAGGTATTATAAATGTCATAGAATTAGAATCAGGCTTGCTTTATTAGAAACAGCTCATAAAGGATTAAAAAAGATAAATACATTATTTTTTGCTAACTCAGCAGACTCAGCATTGCTAACTCAGCAAAATAAAATTATTATTATTAATAATTATTATTATAATACTGTCACTTTGATTACAATACTGTCTATTACAACACTAGGAGCAGGTGCTGAAGAAGCATATGAAGAACCAATAATAACTGATAATAATAGTGAAAATGATACTACAGTCACAGCAATAGCAGAGTCTAAACTGAACAATGATGAAGTAGTGACTGCTAGCGATGAAGTGTCAGCTCAGCCACAGGCTCCCATTGCTGCTACTAGTAATCCTTTGGTAATCTCTTCCATATCTCAAGTTGAATTATACCAGACTCCTAAGCGAAGAGAAACAGTTACTAGTCGATCTTCTGTGCCGACAGTCAGTGATGATGAGGATGCATCATCACTAATGATAACCACAAGCTATAGCACTCCAACAATGGCTACAGTTGCCAGACCAGTTCCTTTTGATCTATTAGAATCAGTCAATGATGATGGTAATACTGTAAAATAGTGTTTTAATAAGTTAATTTGCCTTTTTCTCTTTAATATAGCTACTCCATTCAAACAGCTTCAGTCCTACAGCTTCAGTCCTACAGCTTCACCCAATGATAT